TGAACCTTGAAATTTACTGGTTCATTAAAATTATTGCCGAAAATAAATAAAACATCTTAGGAAGCAATAAGTGAAGTCCAGATTAAAAACTGTCTTAAATGTAATACAATAGGAATGTGCTTCAGTCACATATGTAATAACTTGTGCAACAACATTTCTCACAATAATCAACAACTCTAAAAAAAAACATTTTTTCATAGTAGAAAAACTTTTATACATATGTTTTATTTAAAATATATGTGAGTAAATTGCACTTAGACTTCATTAGTTGAAAAGAAATTGTGAAACTTGAAACTTGAGAAAACAAGTTCAAGTAACCTAATATATTAAGCTGACTCAGCTGCCTCAGTTCAGGGGATGGGGACTTTCATACTAACCTTTGTCATGTTTAAAATCGCTCATTACTTTGGAAAGAAACAATCTGGACTTAATTTAACATGTATTGAAGACACAGGAAGTTTCCATCATGTTTGTTTTCTTCTGTGTTTGAGGTTTTAACTCTAACAATGCATGCTGGGAACTCTGCTAATGTACTAGTTTTATTATCTGTAAGCTTCTTTTCATGAGTTAACTGAACTCTCCAGTTGTTCATTTGTTGCGGTCTGAAAACAAAAGCTAGACATTTAAATTAACAAAAAATGAACAAAGCTTATATACATGGGTAGAAAAGATGATTCAGTTGAACTAAATTCCTGCATGATGTTTCATCGTGGCGTTGGTTTTAACAATGTAGCCCTGACAATAAAGTGTGATAGCACAAAACAGAGTGTTAAACACTGTCCTCTTTAACTTTTTACATTGCATGAATAGTAAAAAATTTCATGTTTTTAAATCTATATGCATTTTAATTTAAATTATATATTTATATACATATAGCCGATTTTGAATTTCCTTTTCAAAAATTTTGCTTCTGCTTAAATAAAGCTTGCAAAATTACAGATACCTGCCCCTGGGTGGGATATTTTGGTGCTCTTTCCACCCCTGCATACTGCATAATATATAACATGACTGTACCTCTATGACCTGACACCCTTGAAAAAAGAGATAAGACATGTAACGCTTTCGTCAACTCTCCCTTTCATGTTCCCACACCTGGATACAGCGCTTCTCCGCCCTGCACCACCACATCAAATAAAGGCTCCCAGGCAAACTTACATCCACGTTACCCCTGGAGGGGTGACTGACTCAGCCAAAGAGCACATCTGCCCTGTTGTTTTTACTGCCATTCCCATCTATGCCTGCCCCTGTCGCTCATCTGTCATCACCTGACAGCCGAGACATAAGACTCCATGACATAGTTTTTACAGTAAAAGAGTGAAGACATACTTATTCTCCTCTTCATACCACAGAGTGTACATGAATGGCTAAAGGCTGCAGTGGGGTTATTGATGTGCCGGCGGGGGTCATGACCCAGGAGGTACAGTTGAATCACTGTGAAAAGGTGTGCTTATGTGTGGGAGCTGATAACGTCTTAAACCAGTCATCTTTTCCTTTCTTCTAATGCTTTTGGACATCTGCTGAATTCATCAGTCATCAGTTAACCGACTGTGTGCATGAATCAGGATGTTTGTTTTTTTTTTCTCGAGCATTTCCAAAACCAAAAACAGCAGAGCAAAGGTGGAAGGAATGGCCATATATGAGCATTTGTCTGCTCTAACATAAGGCAGCAAACTTGCTTATTACCAACCAAGCGTTGCATTTAAAACTAGGGCTCAAAGCATGAACTGACTGTATTAATTTGTGAGGTTCCAAGTTAGGTTACAAAACCCTTGTTAAAACTAGGCCTTGGGAAGTTTATTGTGTTTTTTGCTTGTTTGTTTGTTAAATTTTTACTTAAGATTTACAGCAGTTATTTCACTTCCTGAATAGGAATCAGGCTTTTACATTTTAAATCAAGCTGCAAAAGATTTCAGGCAGAAGGTGCAGCATACATAGAAGGCCTTTTACCTACACTTTAAAGCTGGAGCAGGCAGAAACCTAAAAAAAAAAGGCAAAACAAATAAAAATACATCTTTGGCTTCATCAAGTTTTAAATGACTTCTTATTAGTAAAATTCATCTGTCTAAACTATTGCCCTATTCATTATATTTCATTTGATTGATGAAAAGCCCAGAGGTTGGCCAAACTCTTTGTCATAGCTTCTAAAAGCTAAAAACAGAGCCAGGACAAGGTGTAAAAGTCTAGTTTCCTCTAAGTGAATCCTAAATGTTTTCCTAAATGTTAGTATGGAATTTTCCCCAGTGATGGCAAACAAACAAACAAAAACCCCCACTGCCTACTTCAGCTTTAAGAGGCATTACACGGCAGTGTATTTGCATAAGTAAGGTGGCTGTAACCCAGCGATGTTTTATCGATAAATGTAATCTAGGGCTTTAATCTGTGGGATGTAGAAGACAGGGGTTCACAGGGCTCTATAATGTACAGCATCCAAAGAATGTAAATATTGAGAAGACACATTTAGTACATTGCTACAATCAAGCAATGAAAAAAGAAGCAAAATAAAAATCTTTTTTTTTAATACCAATAAATCAATGAGAACTTTGTGCCACGGGCATTGAACTTGAGCATTTTCACTTAATGTCATGTATGTAGTATGTAGTGACTTTACACAGCACTTGTTTGAATAAGATGGAAGCAACGAGAAGTCAGCTGGAGAAGGAACCGGCGTTATAAGGAAGAGACTCGTCACCTAAATAATCCTAAATACAAATCTATGGGGGAATTCTGTACTTTCAAAAGATGTATGACTCATGTATGACCTGCCCCTTCCACTCAAAAAGCGGAAACATCCAACCAGTTGGGTTGCTGCACCACCCCAAACCCCAATTTTCGAAAAAAATCACAAAAAACATAAAAAGAGTAAATAAGAAGACTTTTTATCAAATTTGACTGGTGATCTAGTTTTTATGTCCCAGTGAGAAATGAAATTGCAGTTATAGCTCCACCCCCATTTACAAAGATGGCGGCTGGGTGGAGAGACTTGCCTTGATGGACTTTGATGGTATTCGTGGAGCAATTTTAGCTTAAAGCTAGTGTATACAAGACTGTAGAAACAGCAAGACTAAGCTAGATTTTTAAAGCATGCAACTGAAAAAAATCACACCCTCTCCTGGCATGGCTCCCTCCATAACCACTCCTCCAAAACACGTGAATGTTTGCCTTCTGAGTACCACTAAAGGACTAATCGACATTAGAGAGCGTTTGGTAGGAACAGAGTGCCTGATGTCTAAAAAACCCACAAATAGGCTACATCCCCACATTTGTAAAACCTTTCATACAGCCAGTATAGACAGACATAAGACAAGTACCATAAAAAGACACCAGCTCACGTTGAAGCTGCAATACAGGCTGGTGGTGAACATATGTGTAAATATTCTCATGAAACTGAATGAGGGTGCCAACCACAAAGACCACACGAAGACGCACAAATACAAAAACGGACGTGCTAATCAGGCAGGTTTAGCAGATCTTGTAGGTTTCAGTGGGCTGTAAAATGTGGGTTCACTTTGTCTGCAACTGCTGTTATTGCTTGCTTCCTCTAAGAATGTGTCTATACAGCATTATGGAAGACTTCGGTGTTTGCAGGTACATAGTTTGGCGGGCAAAATGGCCATTCAGTCACCTTCAGTGTACCAAATGCCATCATTGGACAGGTTTTTTAAGGCCTGTGACTGCCACAGATACTAGATTTTTTTCCTTTTCATTATCAAAGCATTTAATGAATTGATTGCTGTGGAGATGTAAACATAGCAAACATAACAAAAATCCCTCTGAAATACACTGCATACTCGAGCTTTAATAAATTAGTTGGATACAGCTAATGAAATCCGTTGTTGAGAGCTGGTCAATTCAATTTCCTCAGTTTCGCTGTGTAAAACTAGTTTCAGTTTCCTCTTGGCCTCGTAATGCGAGCGTGTGAGACACGCAAAGGTATTGTGTGAGGAAGCATAAATGCTGCTGTGATAAATACTGTTTGCGTGAGTGTCTGTACGAGTGTGTGTGATTCATCACCTCAGACTCATTACAGCAGAACACATCAGAGACTTTGTAGAAATCTGGATCCAAGTCAGGAATGGCCGGCGCTGGGTTGAATATTGTCTTCGCTGTAACAAGAAACCAAGCAGTGATCCATTTTAATAAACCGCAGTGTCAAACATCATAATCTGCAGGACACTCAGCATAACATGCAATCATTAACAAGGCTTAAAAAATGGAATTGTTCTCAATAATGCGCCCAGTTATAGCTGTCAGCTTGCATTCAAAAGGATACCATTTTTGACATTGTGCCTCAGTGACACATTTTACAATTGATGTTTCTTTTCCATTTCTGAGTCTGACTGCCAAGATCTGGCAATACCTTAATTAAACTTTCAATAGGAACAAAGGCTACCAGGCTACCGCTGAGGATTGCTCTCTAAAGCAAAGCTCAAGTGGATAAGCTTCTATAAAAAGCCACTTTTTAAACAATTCAATTAGCATTCCCTGGAAAAAACAAAAGCCCTTGTGGAAAGACCTCATATCCTATAGCATTCTGTGGTGCGCTGTAACCCCTGCAGGAGTGTGTGTGTGTGTGTGGAAAAGATTCCACATGAGGCATACATATAACTGTATATATGTGTGTCAGTGTGTGGGTGAGATGAGTTGTGACCCTTTCTGTGTGTTAAGGAGCACAAGAGAGCGAGAGAGAGCGGGAGTGTTTGTCAGAAGTAATCCTCTGTACGTGTTGCACATCACTGTCTAATGCATATTCATGAGCAGGGAGCATTAATGCATCTAATACCATGATTTCTGTGTATGTGTGAGGATAAGCCCAGCTTGACGAAGCGATTAATTCTGATATCTCTGTGTACAAAATAAAGCCTCATGCAAGTGTGTGTGTGTGTCTGAGGGAAATATATGTTCAGCGTTGGTGACATCAAAGTCTGTTGTGCAAAAGTGTGTGTCTAGTTGCTGTGTGTGTGTGTGTGTGTGTGTGTGTGTTTGCGTGGGCACATAAGAGAGCAGCTGCGTGGGTTTGCGCAGGGCTTTGGCCACCTGGCGCTTTGAGGTGGATGCTGGGCTGCTCGCGAGTAAAAGTGGAAATAATGTCTCTGTCTCTTTTTCAACACACAGACTCATACTGTACTGTATGTATACCCACGTGAGCCAAGGCCATATCACAGAAAAGTGACACCGGGCTCTTTCCGACTCTTCTCTCTCTCTCTCTCAACTCAATTGCACCTCAGTTTCCATCACTTTGGTTTCCAAGACAAGTGCGAGATCTCTGAAATGTGATGCCTCGGATTTACGTAAAAGGAAGGATCTCTGTCTTCTGTCTAGCCTCTCTTCTTTCTGATAAAAATACAGTTCCAAATTCGTCTTGTTCTTTTAAATATCATCACTTAAAGGACGATGAAACTTTAAAAAATAAGACATATGTTCCTGTATCAATCACTAAGTAAATGCTCCTGCTTTTCAACAGCTTCCCTACTATAAAAACCACCAACTTTCAAACTAATACGAGCTGCTTATAGTCACAGCATCAATTGATGGCATGTCAATAACAAAAATAGCATTAATAGCACAGTTTTTTGTTTTTTATTATTGCACTTAAGTTATTCTGTTGCCTGCAGCTTGGAGCCGCTTCAAAATTGTACTTATTTTGTTCTCCACACAAACAAAGTGCAGAGGCCAAGCGCTCAATCAATTTCACATGCAGGGATCCTTGAATAAACGTCTTAGTCTGTCTCTTAAAAGTTTCCAACTTCCCTACACAGTCTGTGCCATTCAGCTGCAAACCCATTAGATCCTTTTGAAGACGTAAATCTTTAAGAAACGGTTCAAAATGTAAAACCTCTAACTACCGTCTTTAAGGAGGATTGAAGGTTTCAACATGAGGGGTCCAAGGCTTTGAACTGTAAAAGTCCAACCAGCTATACAGCTCCACGGTGAGTGAGAATATTTAAGTGAATTCCTAAAACAACTGATAACTGTAGTTTGGAAGAAATGCTTGTCAAACAGAAGAAAACAGTGCACTTGTTAGTGGTTATTTTCTGTTTCTGTTTAGGATTTACTAAACATTTGGTGCTCTAGCGAGTATATACAGCAGGGCAGTGTGTATGGGTCTGCAAATAGATTGCATGTTGTAACGGTGTGTTGTCAGCTAGTGTGTAACACTGTTGTGTCTTAATAGCTATGTACAACTATGGATCGCTATTGCAGCTGTCAGTTAGGCCAAGTCTTTGTTGGTTTTGGTCTTTTGCATAAGAAAAACATAGAATGAGAGAGGCTTATGATGTAGGTGGTGACCATTTTTGACCCTGAGAGGTTACTGTCATTGGATGACTGAAATCTTTGATGTGTCAGATTAAAAAAAACAGGTGTCTCAAGCTATCAGTCTTAAAAATTGTCCTCATAAAAAGAACAACCCGTTGTGTGAAAAACGAAGTACTTCCTATGGGCATGGTTGACTTTTCCAACGTATTTGAACAAGCAAACAGTTGATTATCTTTGAAACAGTGCCTACGAATAAAGTCCTAATTCACTCAAACAGGCCAGTCACATGGAAAAAGTAATTAAACATTCATCATACCATCAAATTACAATCTGGGTTGTTAGATTAGGTGCCAATCATTAGAACCACCTTAAGGAGTGACGGGTAGAACCTGTCCTATTTAAACCTCTGACAAAGCCTGCTGTTCTCTCTTTGCTATTCAAGTATGTGGTGTCATCCTGCCAAGATCTAAAGAGCTCTCTTCAAGGCTTCATAAAAAAGGGTGAGGATGCTTATGCGTCTGGCAAGGGATTTAAAATGATTTGAAATAAACCATCCCATTGTAATGAAAATCATCTCCAAGTGGTGTAGATTTCAAATAACTGCCAGATTGTCTCAGACTAGACACCCTGGCAAACTCAGTCCAACCATTTAATGAAAAGAAGAACAAGTTCATCTCAGAATCTACAGGTAACTCTGCAGCTGATGGTGTCAAGCTGGACGTGTCGACAATCAGAAAGAGGTCGGACAAATCTCATCTACATATGATGTGTGCCTTGAAGAAGCCTTTGCTGCGTAAAAAGGAATTTAGAGCAAAACTACAGATTGCCAGTGAACATAAACACCATACCCTGTAATAATGTGATCTGGACAGAAGAATCAAAGACACAGATGTTTGACCACAGTAACAGTGGACATGTTTGGTGCAGACCAAAGACAACTCTTCAGGCAGAGAACTTCAAACCAACTGGGAAAGATGGTAAAGGAAATGGTATAGCTTGGAGGTGCTTTGCTGCCTCAGAGACCAGGCAGGATGCAGTTACTGATTCAACTATGATTTCTGAATCATATTAGAGAGTGTTTGCAGATAATCTAAGGCCATCTGTACAGACGGTGCGGTTGAACCAGAAGTGGACCTTTCAACAGGATGATAATCTTAAACACACAAGACAGATCCACTAAGTAATGACTCAGACAGAAGAAATGGAGGGTTATAGAATGGCCTCGTCAAAGTCAGATCTGAATCGCATTAAAGTGTTTTGGAAGGATTTAAAAGAGGCAGTACATGCAAGAAAACCCGCAAAAAATCTTGCAACTGCAGGAATTCTGTCTGAAGGAGTGGTCACACATTTTAACAAGGTGATGTCAAAGGCTGGTAAAAAAGAATTATGCAAACACCTACAAGATATTATTTCTGCTAGAGGGAAGGTAGCCTTAGATTCTTTTTTTTGAATAAATATCTGAAAAAGCTGATTGTTCTGGTAGAGTTTTTCAAGTACATTACTTTAATCTGTTTGCACCGTATCAAGGAGAACTAAAGGTTTGTTTATACACTGGACTCTATGTTTGTTATAATTTATACAGTATCGTACATACCATTTTCCTGCAAAGTGACTTCTAGCAGTTGTGTAGGACAGCATCAGTCGTCATGTGCTTAATGACAAAGGGTTCTAGTGGCTTATTATTATTATTATGAATATTTTTTTAGAAAACTTATGACATGACTGTGTCCATGTCTCATCCGTAAGATGAGAGTTACTGTTTTGTCAGGAACAGAAGATGCAAAAGAGAGTGGAAGGAAAGACGGTTTGACTATATTGTTTACATTTTTTCTGAGACTCGTATTTCAGCAAGTCTTAGTTTTGTTTAATTTAACTTAGAGCCCTGAAATTAAGGCGTTTAATTTACCCTTTCTCCTTGGTCTACCTAGGAGTTTCTGAAGATCATTTGTTTCCAGTGATAACTTCGTTCTTCTTTGCGAAAACAATCTTGAATTTTGATTCATGTATCAATATAAAAGGGTGTTTATTGACAATATAATACAGTCAATTCTTATGCCACCCACTCCATTCTACAACTCACTCCCTCTCTTCCACTTATACCAGCAATCAGCAGTTTATTCTCCTCTCTCTTGTCGCGTTTATTCAGTGTTCCTCAGAAGTTCACACGCATATCTGACACGTGACTGTAATTGGGCCCCAGCAATGTAAGACACATGTAAACACTACGCTGATTGTATAAGCTCAATTAGGCTGTTAACTGGAGTAATTGTTGGAACACATGTGGAGGTCTTCAATTTCATTAGCAGACAGCTTTCAGTCACAACATCACGTGAAGCGCTAACTGTGTACTGTACGGCATGTAAACAGGATAAACAGCATTGTTTAATTATGTAAAATGATTACTCTCGCTGTCGTCTTACTGAGGCTATTGTCAATAATCAAATTATCATTTGTAGCCATGAACAGGACAGATATAAACGACATCTTCCCCTTAGCTAGTATCAGTGTTTGCGTCAAGCATGTCACTTCAGTGCTGATGTCAATGCACAGGCCCTGTCCTCATTAAGTATACATGCAATAAGCAACTGGAAGACTGCTGAGGATAGAAAGTTATCAATATGCACACAGGAGCAGCTTGAGTGAAATCCCTGATACACTGATGCATGAAGAAATCCGCCTCACCGACTGTGTTGAGTTGCCACTCTGGACGTCACATAAAGCGGCGTGTCTGTCTCAGGTTTCTTTGTTTTTGCTCTCCAGGTGTTAGTGAAAGCACACAAACACACTCCAGCGCACACACACGAACGCACACGTACGCTCACATCTGCTGGGACAGATGTTGTAATACCGGGATGTGTGCATACTGAGTCACGTCTGGCAGCTGAGCGTGTGTGCGTGTGTGTCATGACTCTGGGCTTTTATGCTGCTCGGTTCAAAGTCTGGTCGCACATGTGCTGGAAGAGCAGCCAGAAGAGTTTTAGACAGTAAAAAAAAAAAAAATATATAGCAGTTTGTTGCTGTGGGTGATTTAGGAGGAAAGGTGGATGGAAAACAAGGGCAGAGGGAAAACCGAGTAAGACAGAGATCACTCACACACTCTCACATGCATGCACACACACACACACGCACACACAAAAGAAATGAGTCATCAGTGAGTATGTGAAAGGGCTTTAAGAGGCTCTAATTGCATCTGGTGAGAAATATAATAGCAGCTTCTTGCGCAGACAAGGAAGAGGAGGGGGAGGAAGATGGGGTGAAAACGGAAGAAGAAAGAAAGAGTGAAACTACGCAACTCCTACCATTTCCTCAGTTCTTAGAAACTAATGTAATTCCATTAACATCTCAATGTTAAATAGTAGGTCGCGATATATTCTGCATATACACATGTTTTGTCATCATATAACCACATACATGAAGGAAAAAATGTTTCTTCACAAGTTATCTTCACAAATGTTTCTAAAAGCTGGCATCCGCAGTACGTGTGGCTGGATGGTGACATTTGCGTAATTTGAGCGGCGCTTCACCCCCGCGTCATTATATCCCAGCCGCCAAACCCATTAACACCCAGTCTCTCCAGAGAACTCTATTTACGCAATGCTCTGGTGCGGCAACATCGAGGTGGCATCTTTGCCAAGCGTCTTTGCTCGCCTTGCCTCTCTTCTGGTGCCACATGCCGAGCCTAATCCCGTGGTACGGTCGACGCACTGAGGAGGGGGGCTCGGGGAAAGAGGGTGGCGCTCGGCGAGGCCATCTGGGTATCCCATCTGCAACACGGTTATGGCTGCGACTCGTTCGTTCTGGCAGCCTGCAGCGAGCGATTATGGACGACAGGCTCTGATGACAGGGGCGAGAGGCTCCCCAGACGTCTCGAATGACGTGGAGGGCTGCTAATAATAGGATGCTGTTAAAGATGATTAGCTCAGTAACCTGGTTATGAAAGAAAGGTAGATGGAGGAAGAGACAGAGGGAGGGCGGTGGTATAAAACGGAGCTCTGTTGGTGCAGGACTGTATGAATCCTGTTTTAGAAACGGATATGGCGGTCAACAAACACTTGTGAAAATATTACTTTAGTCCACATCTCACACTTAGCTTGATAAAGTGATACAAGTCAGTGGGGAGCCTCTTTCTAAAGAGTGAATTAAAGTGTAACTGTGAAATACAAAAAGCAAAGTCACAGAACTGATTCAGAAGGATTTTCTCTGCCTCTACTGTAATTTCCATTCCACAAAAAGGCTTTGTGCATCTTTAAAAAAGACAGGCTGATACATTGCTGGACGAATAAAACTTAAGAATCATCTGAAGGTACATGGAGGTTTGGAAAAATCACCTGCAAATTCTACTGTGTGGAAATTGCTGCTTGCTGTAAAAGTCAAATTAAGATCAGAGTATTAAAGTAAAACAGTTTGTATGAAGAACTGTCCAACCACATAGAAAAAAAATGTTTTTCTGTTGGCCGCACTTGAAAACGGGGCAAAAAACCTACATCATAATCGTGTTGAACACACGCACAAGCTGATAAAAGTGAAGAATGAAATGGTTGTGCTTGTCCTGCTCAACATCTCGATTCTGATATCGTAAGGGTGTGGGGGAGGGGATTTCAGATGGTGTTTAACAATCCAACAAGCTCTTTGGCTGAAGCGCACAGACAGAGAGTGATTGGAATGTGACCACAGGGAAGAATTTACAAACTCTCATGGTGAAGCACAGTGTAAGGTCCTTTTTATTTGATTTCTATGATCTGGTAAAACATATCAGTTTAACAGTAGCCCAAATAGAAGAGTCACAAAGCCAGCAAACATGCTCAGTAAAATCAGTAACATCTCACAGCTACCATTAGCCAACATAAGCTACAAGTCACAACCATGAACCCGTTTCAGACATGGGATATGTAACATTGGTGCCTCATCAATCTGTTCAAGTAACGGCATTCTGTCATTCCGACATAGGTCACTTTTATGTTAATGTCCATCGCGGCTTCATTCAGCCACAATATGCACACTGTATTTGTCATACACGCAAGACTGGGCACCATAACGAGCAATGTATAGCAAATATTAATGCACTAATAAACAAGACTAAATATAAATTCACTATGTAACAAATGACTTAACTGCAGCTGATAAACTGTGACTAAGTGTGTGATAGTTCACCTTTCTGAAGTGAGGAAAAGTACACAGTTTGACTTCCTGTTAGATTCTGATCCATCCTGTCTCCACGTCAGGGATCATTTATAATTTTAAGTTACTAATGAAGCTACTGATGTTGTTCCACGTGCATACATGTGATCAAAGCTTTCACTGGTGAGATGATGTTATGGATGCTGCTGCTGTTTGATGCAGCAAATATGCAATGGACTCAAAGGAAAGACTCCTGCAAACAGCTAGAAACAACAACTGTTTTTGAGTCGCAACAATCTGAGCTGTTAGTCTTTGTCTTCATCACTGCAATGTATTTTTATTTTATTTTTTTTTGGGGGGGGGCTTTTCAGTTTATATTAGATGCAAAATTGTTTGGCAAAGAGAACAATAAAGGTGTCTATCGGCCATGTTTTTGGACCAATATTGGTGCTGAAATGTGGAAAAAAGCCTTCATCAAATTGCTGCACACAACTTTTAGTAAGTTGAGATTTTGTGCATACCTATCTGTTAATGCAACGGCATGCACTTCAGGCTGGTGCTGTGCTGAAAATGATACGTAAATGTTACTAAGTTTGATCTAGTAGCACTTCTGTCACAAGCTGACGAGATCAGTCGCTGTCAGATGAATGGAAAGGAGTGTATGTCTGAAGGGAGCTTTAGACTGTATATAAACACAGATGACATGGCAGCCTTCCTGAAGTGAAGGCATGGCATGGCAGAGATAGCAGCAACTAGAAAAGACTCTCATAATTTGAGGATTTAAAAGCAACTGAAATAAAAATAAATAATCTTTAATTTTACCTTAAAGTTTTACTCACACAATGTATGTGAATAAATACCTGTGATGTCTCTGGTCAAACAAAGAACTGATTGAGCCTTTAAAGACCAAAGTAACCACAGTTGGTGAAAATAAACACAGTTAATGGAATGCAAATGTAACCACCTGTTCTGTATTATATAACAGTGGAATTATAATACTTCTCAAACTTCTTTTCTGTTTTACTTTTGAAAAATGTACGTTCCGAATTCAGGGGAACCTACACATGTGATATGGACACAGACACAGCACACACTGACCTTTGTTGTCGCGAGCCATGCGTAGTGCCTCCAAGGACGTCTGTGGACTGATCTCCAGCTGGCACACCAGCACTTTTGCACGACTGATGGCTGGAAGAGCTTTCTGTAGCTCCTCTCTGCCCAGCAGCATGTTGGCACCAGCCACGATCACGATGGCATTCTCACCTGCCAGTGGACGCCCATAGAGATGTGTGAGGATGCAATAGCCACTTTATGACGAATGTGAGACTCCATGGGAAATCTCAAGTCCATAAATATGTAATGACATGTTATGTAAAAGACTACGGTGACTTACTGTACATTTTAGTTTTACAAACTTTGGCTGCCAAGAGGTAAAATGTTTCACTAACTTTCTACAACCGGCAATGCACCATGAAAACATTTTTTTTATATATTACAAAATCATTGTCACTTTTAAATGTACCGCAGAAGGGCATTTGATGTGTTTGTAGTAATATGTCATTAACTCTTGCACTAATTTCTTCAACTTGAAACCTCCAATATAAACCCAATTTTAAAACCCTGGGGTTAATGGGTTGATGTGTAACTCTGTTCCTTATTCTTCTTGAACTTTGCTTTTCATCACTTCACTAAAAAGCTAAACACCTTTGATTTATCTGACCTTTTCACACCAATTCAAAATACAATGTGTTCATTGTTTTGTGAATCATTATTCCTCACTCAATTAGCCAGTTTTGGCCTGACCTGTGTGCTGTATTAAATGGCACAAAAAATGGTAAAAATCCAAAAAGGTATGCATGTGTGATGGATGATTTACATCAACTGGTTGTTTCTGTGAGGTGACAGATATTGCTCTAAACGTGCAAAGGCTGAGATTTGATCAGACTGGAACCTGTGGACACTGAATGGTTTGGTGCACTTGTGTATCTGAGTGTGTGTGAGTATAGCCAGTGATTACTCTTGAGCAGTGGTGAGTCAATGGCGGTACTGAATGCCTGAGTGTATTGTGTGTGCTGGTGCGTGTGTGTGTAGTAGAAAATGAGTGTGCAGATAGCCCATGTATGCGCACATGAGACTATTTCGACAACTCAAAGAGCTTTTAGGATCTCAGCAGGGCAGTATAGGTTAGCAGCAAAAGCATTTACCTGCATCGTTGACAGTGATGGAAGCAGCTCCCGTGGCTGCGTCAGAGGTCTGCCCTACAAAGTCTGAGAAAGAAAAAAGATGAAAGGTATAAAGTAAGGTTTGAAAGCATCCATTATTTGTCTTTACTGTGAAAAGAAATGTTTTTTTTTACCTTGCCAACTTTCACCAAACACACCTCTGGAAAACAAAATGTCAGCACAGTAACTCCTACTAATTGCTTAGAGTGCATTTGGCTTACGACAGGCCACAAGCATTTGTAATCTGATATGTGCTCTGAACACAACTTTTGAAAAGCATCTTTATTTTTAACAAAGCCGAATGGCTTAACAATCATTGGCCATAACAACTGAGCAAACCTGCCAGTGTATCCGCAAGCACTGAGCAACTAAAAAGAATTGACAAAATACAGACTAAAAAAAAACATTGTCCTAGATGTGAACTTTTTGCAGTGCAATGTGGAAATGGTAACCAATTTGGCATGTAATGTAAAAAAACGTCTGTCTTACCTGTGTGTACGCCGTTGTCCTTGAAATTCTGGATGTAATTGTCTCCAAAGAAGTCTTTACCAACCTAGAAGAGATTGAAGGCAAAACGATTACAACAAAGAGAGTGTCAAGCGGGGTCAGACTTGGTTAGCGGCAACTTTTGAAAAGTGGTATACTCAAATCTCAGTTGGGCTGGATTTTCGTGTGCCCTGCCAGCATACTGGCATGGTGCCGCCGCCGAAAATGTGCAAAAACGAACACACAAAGTCAACAAGCGCACACACGCGCAAACACACGACCAGCTGCGCCAAGCCTTGAAGACACGATAACCCCGCCTTCACGCCTCTTCATGCCCACCTCGCTTTCGTTTTCTTTCCCTCCTTCCCCTCTTCCCCTGATCCGCTCTGGGATGTCCACATCTGTAGCTACTTTGGGTTGTGGAAGGGGTCCCCACCTTGCCCCGAGGCGCCTACTTCGAACCCACGCTTTCCAAAAAACGTGCCAAAATGCGGGCACTTCTAGCTGCCTGTGATAGTGGGTTGGGATGGTATTGGCTGCTTGGCCCCATTCTCTTTGAAGAGCGGCCTTCCATCTTGGATGTTTTTGACAAGCCCGGGTGTCTATTTTTGGGTTCTCCCCATGCCCGGAGAGCTCCTCCCGCACTGGGTTGTTATCGATCGGGCCTCTTTGTTCTGACAGAGGTGGGGCTTCGGTGCTTTAGTGCTCAGGTTGAAAGGCCACACTGAGCCTACTGATTGGAGACTCGGGGTTGTATGGTATGGGAATAGGCTTGTTTGAAGGCGCGCAAGCGTAGGTGGGCGTATGCATGCGGTATGGTATTGATCAAGCGAAAATGAGGCATGAAGAGTTGATGTTGTGAAATGACTGAAGTGTGAACGAAGCTAAAAGGTTTTTGGGAGTTGTTAACTAGTTGGTGGGCTATGGTAGCTGATGGCTGATTATTTGTACTGAGTAAGACATGGACAAGCCAAAGGTTGGACAAGTAACGGTACCTCTTTTTCAACAGACATACACATAATAATGCTAGAATCTAAACTAACACTTACTGCGACCCCAACTCATAGAGCGCAGCAGCAGCATCTGGCTGCCAACTTAATTGCGGTGTCATACCTTGCACACCATAGCGGTTTTCACCCCCAGTCTGGCAGCCTGGATACACTGGTTGGCCCCTTTTCCTCCGAAGCCAATGAAGAACTTGTGCCCATGGATAGTTTCCCCTGCTTTGGGTAACCTTGGTGCCTGGCTAAGGGACAAAAAGTGAGAACAATTTTAAGGAGTACATAGTTACCAAAAAGATCCTCATGGGATTTAAGGTACAAAGAAGGTAGGACTCCTCTGCTTAGATGAATACTTTGCTCAGATCCTGAGTTTTAGTCCATTTTCTTCCATCTCAACCATCTCTTCACAGTGCGGATAATAGTTGTAACATCTCCCATGAAACTTTGCAGAAATGTTTTATTTGGCACTGTGAGTGTCAAAATGTGAAGACAACCCTTTAGGGCCAAATCCTTCCCTAGTTAAGCTATTTATTTATCACTGGAAAGTGTGCAAAAACACACAAACAAAAGGTTTCTGTGGAGTCTGCTGAGAATTATATTTTTTGATCGTGTGAAGGTCTTTCACAGAAAGGTCAACAAAATGCAAACGCTTCTGGAACGAACTGAGTAAAGAAAACTTTTTTCCTTGAGTGTTTTTCCTTGTCTCGTTTTCCATACTTAAACACAAAAACACCAAGAGAACGTGGAGTCAAAAATTGCTTCATCACTCTATAAAGTGCTGTTTTACGTAGACGTTCAGGCAGATATGCCAATGCAAGTGTCTTCAAACTTGCAAATGATGCAACCAGCAAATCCCATAGATGTCTCAACTTGACAATGGCCACACCAGTAATGCCTGACTCACCAGAGTCGGTCAAGTCCTGCCCCTCCCCTCGAGGCTGATATGCCACAGGTGGGTGCCTTCAGGAGGAGCTGTCTGCTCCCTGGTTCCTCCAATCACAGAGCCAGAGAGGGCAGTGAGTAACATGGGGGAGAGACAACAGACAGCCTCATGCTGTATGTCAGGACTCTGTGGTTTGGCCCCGGGCAGTTCTGGCCTGGGGCCAAAGGGTTTGCGGGTGGCAAAATGTTGTCATAAACTTGTTTTTCACCCTGTTGTTGATCTGTTTCATGCTTGTGTGTGAGCGAGTTTGTGGCAGGTGTGCTGTTACAGTAAGTTCACTCAACCCCAGGATTTCCAGTAACTAAGGCTGGTGGCAAACACTGGAGGTTGTTATAAATGCTGCTGTTTTCGCACCACCGTGTGAAAACACTAAAATACCCTGAGCTATAACAGGATGCAGGGTCAGTGAGGCTGAAATGTGGTCTCAAGGAAACAGAAGAAAGGGTGGATGCATAAACACACACACACACACACACACACACACGCACACATACACACACACACACATTACCTATTCTCCTTGGTGCTTCCAGCTTGAACGTTTTTTTCCAGTCCGTGCGACTATGAGAAAAAAGTCGCACACTGACTTCAACCCACAAATTTATTCAAATGCTTTGTCCGGAGGAGTCTTTTATAATGCTAACTACTTCCATATGCAGTGTGAGAGGGGCCTGTGATAACAGGTGGGCTAAAAACTTAGTCGGACAATTCAACTAGAACAGAAAATATGAAGACAACAACAACAATGCAGAACAGAACTTAATATGTTACAAAAATACATTCCTGACTAAGTGCCCTCTGCTAACCACGTCACCACAGCTAATGCATGTCTGTTCTAAAGAAATAAAGAGAGCCTCTCATGTCTGTATGGAAAATATGACGACCGCCAGCAGCCAGTTAGCCTAGCTTAAGCGCAAAAACTGGAAACTGAGTGAAACAGCTATCCTGCTCAAAAACTGATAAAATCCACCATTCAGTCCCTTTCACGGTCACTAGCTAACACCTTATGAGGTATCTTGTTTGTACAATACGTCACCATGATGTTGGTAAGCTCCCAGTGATGACAAAACTCTGGAGACGTTTTGGCATGTAACCACCCATAAATCATAAGCCGTCATCGACACGCTTTTGTTTAGGCATGGATTAGAAAAGAAAAACAAAGTTAACACACCTTTAGACAGAGCGACGCTAGCTATTCTCTGCTGTCATGTGCTGTGCCAAGCTATGCTAACTGGCTACTAGCAAAAGCTTCAATTTAGCGTATAGATACTAACTGAGCGTACAGATACTGATCTAACTCTTGGACAGAAAGCAAATACGCTCATTTCCTCAGTATTAATTTACTCATCTCTGGACAATGTTGGTCATTGTAACATAACTTCTATGTCTTCTGGCTTAGATGTCGGAGAACTTTAAACACACTTTTTAGCTTTATGTAAGCACAGCCTGCAGCTACCTGATTGTTTGTCAAATGACGGCTTGCCGCAGCGACGATATAAATGATTTCTCAGTAGCACTGATTTTTTATCTTTCACAGAGTCTGGTGCAAACAGTTTATTTGTGACATGTGGCAAAAAAAAAAAATAAAACCAACTCACAACTCAGAAATGCTCAAGACTCAACACCAAACCACACATGATTACTTCAAGGACCATTGTAAAGTTGACAATCCACTTATTCTTTTTGTTTTTAGCTCTAATGAAAGACGTAATTTTGGTGAGAAATATGCTCATTTGCTTTCCAGTCAAGAGCTGAATGAGAATACGGACACTGTTTTCATGTCTGTGCTCTCAATATGAGGCTACAGGAGATAAGAATTTTAGCTTAGCATACAGACTGGAAGCAGTGGGAAGAATAAACCATGCTCTTTATAAAGTTAAAAAAGACAAAATGAAATAAAAATGAAATCTCACCAACACCCCTAAAATTGGCATAACATATTGTTTAATCCTTAAAAGTATAAGAAATATACAGTAAAAACAACTAAGCCCGGCAATTAAAATATACATGTTTTCTCCCATATGTGACTATTCTTTTCGTGCTTTTTCTGTAATTCATAGTACCTGCGATTTCAGTACTACTGTAGATAGCACCTTTGCTTCTTAAGGTATTTCTTCAGTCTAATGCATGATGGTACTAAACTGGCTGCGAGGAAGGTTTCTTGTCAGGTGTAGAGGCTGAAAGGATTATCATGTAAGAAAAAGCATTTATCCTCCTACACAGGTCACTAACAAGTGCTCTGCTTGACTGTTTTATCAAAAATGCCCTGGAAACTGATTGTTGTGTCATATTTGAACATGTAAATGCCCATGATGTTTACAGAAGTGCCCATGAAAACGCAATAAATACCGAGCGCAACCTTTGTATTTCATAAAAACACTGTGATTACAAAGTTTTAACATAATGACTCCACATTTGGCCGACAGCCACCTGAAGCCGGATAACTGACAGGTAAGATAAACAGATTTCCAAATTCTTAAATAAACCCACCCACGCCTCTTCAAGCCCAGAGAGACACTTGGCTATTGTTGTCTGTGGTGAGTGCACCAAACAAACAGGGCAGTTATGTGCTAAAGTGCAACCTCAGTGCGTTTTCTCCCACGGAACCAAAAGGCCAAAGCAGGTGTTCAGTGACGTGAAGTGTTTGCTTTGAGGTTGGCTCTCATTTCCCTCTCCTCCGTCTCTATTAAAGTCGTTCCTCAGCTGTTGGTGAGCAACAAGGGGGAAGCAGACGTGGAAAAAAAACAAATTGAAATGTTGTTTTCCAAAGTTTAAACTGGAGCTTGTCTTTCCAGCTCTAAACGCAATCTCCATATTGAACTTGCCAAGTAAGATACAAAGAGTGAGGTCGGGCTTTTTCCTGTGTTAATCAAAATTGTACAAAACTACTGAAAAGTAAGTATGTGTACTACATGTTTGTACTAAACACCAAAAAAAACTATTTAATTGAAGTGTGATGACCTTCAGTTTATATTATGAGTCAGACAAGTGTGTTTAAAAAAAAAAAAAAAAAAA